GGCCTTCTCYGGGGAACAAAGATGTGCTGCCTGGCCCAGGCTGGGTGAAGCGGCCTGCGCACGTGCCCCCTTTAATGCTGCTGCTGGTCCCGGCTCCTGCTGCTCGGTGCTGCCTGGTGCTGTCCGRCTCCTGCTGCCCCTTCCCGGGGGTCTGGGGCAGTGCCTCGGACAGCTGGTGGTCCTGGGATGGGCTGTGACCCCAGGAGCCATCCCGCTCCACTGGGCACCCCCCTGCTCAGCTCCTGCTTTCCCACTTCATCAGCCTGCCATGCTGCTCTGAGCTGCGTCCTGCCCTGGGCGCAGCTCGAGCTGCCTGCAGTGAGCATGGGCAAGAGCTGCCCTTGGTGCCCACGGAGCCCCAAAGGGGTTATTCCCTTCCCTGCTCCCTTCCCGAATAACCAGAAACCGGTCCCTGTTCTGCTGCCGCTCTTTGGGGCTTGGCCATGGTTTCTGGAGGTTGTGTAACTGGTACAAGGGGTGGGCAGAAACTGCCTCTTGTAGCTCCAAGAGGCCTCTCGCCCGGCAGGCTTGGCAGCCCTGTGCTGCCTGCTTGTTCTTCATCACCCTTCCCATGGCAGCAGGCCCTACAGAAAGCAAATGGTGGCAAATTGTTATTTTCCCTTGTGAGCTGCTGACCTTGACATTCCTGCGAGTTTGTGGCAGCACTGGCTCGGGGCGGGGGGTGACACTGTCCTCCTGGCCCTGGTGGCCCTTCAGCAGTGCCTGGAGCATCGCGGGGCGAGGTCCAGTACAGCGAGGTTCAACACAGGGAGCCCCTCCTTGCAGAGGCAGCGCAGAACCGACGACACGGCCCTGCCTGGTGTCTCCTCACTCACCTCCGTCRTGTCCAGCCTGCCCTTGGCACGTGTGTCCCTGCCCCGCAGAGTCCTTTCCCGAAGAGCCGCCTTGTCGCTGCCTGCCAAGCGCCACGGGAGCCTTAGTCATCGGGAGGGTGAAGGAGGGGCAGCCTGCGGGCAGGCAGCCCATGCACTCCCTGATAGAGGTGCTGTTGGGCGGCTCGGCGGGAGTCCCGGCCTCGGCAGGGATGGGGACACTCACGTTGGTGGCTGCTACTTGACACCCGGCTCCAACCACAGACTTGTCCCCATCCAGCCTTGCTGTGAAGCAACAGGGGTGACATGTGAAGGAATGTGGGGATGGGGTCAGGGCTATTCCGCATGTCCAGAGCTCTGATCTGCTCTGGGAAGCAGCCTGCATGCGCTGCACGCCCTGCACGTGTGTGCTGCAGCCCTGGGTCCTGGTGTAACGATAGTGCTGGGCAGCACTGCGAGCTTTCTGGGGCTGTGTAGGCTCCGGCATGAGATTCCTACATGGCCACGTGCCCTCCGGCTTCCAAAAATTCCTTTAGCTCTTGGCCAGATGCACAGCCAAGGCGGCTGGATCGAGGGAACGCAGCTCGTGGGTGGCCGTGGTTGCCCAACCAAGGAGCGGGGCAGCTCTCCCACCTTGCAATGCCCAGCACTGCACGGTGAGGGTTGGGGGGTTATGTAGAAAGGATGCGATGGCTCCTTCCAAGCATTTGGGAGCCCCATTCGTGTTCCTGCCTCTGCCCAGAATTTACTTGTCTAACGTGCAGCCATGGGCAGGATGCTGGGCAGGGACCGTGGAGGTGCCCGCTGTGGGGGGCTGCTGCAGAGCAGGTCTCCTAGCCAGGTCCTGATGCATTAAGCCCCACACAAGAGGGGTGCTGCTCTTGGTCTGAGCACACACATGTGTCTGCGAGGCAAAGTGCAGCTTCCTGGAGCAGCCCAGAGGACAGGGGAAGCTCCTGAGCATCCGCTGGGATCTAAGCGCACATTTCCCAACTCCTTTCTGGAGTCCARCTCGGCCATCGCATCGCTAGCTGTCTGGCTGCGGTTCCTCCTCACGTTACCTCCCCGTGCCCTGCGGAGCCAGCGGTCCCTTTGGCTCCAGACTTCTTGCGTGTGTCCCTGCACCTCTCCTTGCTTCTCCTTTGAGAGTGATCCCGGAGAAACCCCAGCACATTCTGCAAGGGGCCGGCAAGGCCCTGGGGCTGCAGCTGTGCAGCCTGGCCTGCCCCGAGCTCTGGGATGAGCCGTGGGGAGCGGCAGGAGCTAAGTAAGTGCCCAGTCCTGGAGAGCTTCTGGCCCGTGGGGCTTGGACTGGAGCCGGAGCCCTGCTCCACTCACGGGAAGCCCTGCAAGTGCTTCCCAAGAGCAAAGTCTGGGATAGCCATGGAAGCTGGAAACCAGGCACGGCTGGTGGGCACAGCAYGGGACAGCGTCTGCACTGGAGCTGCAGGAATGAGTCCAGGGCAGGAGTTGTCCCCCTTGCTATGTGCTTGCACCACGGATGGGGCTTATGGCGATGTTAAGACCACGAGTGTCTTGGAGTTTGTGTTACACTGATTAACGCTTTTCTTCTCCTGAACAGAAAGAGGGGGTGGGGAGTGAGAAGAGGGAAGGGAAGGGCTGCTCCTTGGCATGCAATCCAAAGGGCACTCACTATTCATGAGCGCAGGGTCATGATTCACACCCTTCCTGTGCAGACATGTCGTGAGGAAAGCCCAGGCTCCGTGTGGCCCTGGACGGCAGCGTGCGAGGCGGCCGTGGTGGCCGGGGCCAGGGCCCGGCCGCGGGGAGCTGCCCGCTCGGACGGCGAATGCGAGCACGGACCTCGCAGCGCGGCCCGTGCCCCCAMCCCAGCGCCCTTCTGAGCCGCTAAACCGCTGCGGCTGCCTAGGATCTCCTCCTCTCCGAGGCCTCACTGCCAGTCTTTTGTTTCAGTATCTGCAAGTAATTGCCTTTTGCTTTTCCATTTGCTTAAAAGCTCCTAATTGGCCCCGTCGTTAATCAGCGGAGGATGAGTGACTAAGCTGTCCTGACTGCTGGGGAACTAGAGCTCCTTTTTCCCATGAACTGAAAGGAAATTAAACTTCAAAACGTGCTCTTAAATCTTAGCTGTCAGCGTCGCTGCCCAAAGCTCCAGCCAAAATACGCGATTTGTGGAGCCTGCGAGTGGACACCAGCAAGTGGGGTAACAACAGGCTGTTCTTTTTCCACTAGAAAACGCCAAAATAAGAGTGAAGAATTTCGCTGCTCATTCGCGCAGGCTCCTCATTCCTTGGCACGCAGAGTGTGTTTCTGAGCCCCGGCGGTTCCTCGGCTCCGGCGCCAGCTCCTCTGCACCCCTGGGCCTTTGGCAACAGAGCTGGGGCTGTTGCATGGCCTGGGAGGGAGCAGTTTGGGTGGCAGCCGAGCCCCAATATGTGCCCTCCGAACCGCCCCCTCCGACCYGGCCCGTTCCCTTCTCAGGAGGGAAGCGCTGGACGTGGTGCAAGCTGCAGCTGAGCCCCAAGAGCAGCGGGATGCAGCGAAGCGGGGGGTCCCGGGGGGATGCTGGAGCTGCAGAGCATCCCTCTGTGGTCCCYTGGGGTAATCCCTGCATTGGCGCCGTAGGGGAAGAGACTGGTGCAGCGCAGGCCCCTCAGCACGGTGGGGAGCCTGGCGGGTGGTCCTGGCTCCCGCATGCTCCGGTTGTGTCTGGCTTCGCGCTCCCGCCTGGCCATGGCGACGCACGCAGCATTCCCGACGCCCCCTCGCCCCCGCGGCGGGAAAGGCCTGTGCAGGGTTGCAGGGGACTTGGATTCCTTCCCTCTTGCACTCGCCAGGGCCAGGYTCGCCACAAATCCCTGATCACAGTCCTGGGTGCCAGGCAAGCCTGTGGAGGCCTTTCTGCTGGCAATATCCCCCCAGCCTTTGCAGCACGGGGAGGCTTTGGTGGGGGGGTTCACATGGGACACCCGGGTGGCCCCAGTGTGCCATGTGGCCACGCTTGCCACAGAACCTTCCTTGATACTTTCTGTGCATGCATGAATTTATTTTTCCTTTTTATTCACCCCCTTTTTCTTTTTTTTTTTTTTTTTCTCTTTTTTCCTTTCTTTTCCTTTCTTTTGTTAACTGGCACGAAAGCTTGGGCGATAGTGGTTAATGGTGCAGCTGTCAGGGCTCCTTCCCGGGGCTGCTCCGCTCTGTCCTCAGGCGGGAGCGCAGGCACTTTGGCGAGGCTCCTGGTGCACAGGCAGCTCTGGAAGCCCCTGCGGGACGTGACCGGCATGGAGGGCACGATGCCCCTTGCCACGCGGAGCCCACTGCCCGCATCCGTGCTTGGGGCCGCTCCATGGGACGCTGCTGGCTAGCAGTGTCCTTCGTGGGAAATCCAGGACAGGGGGGTGCTCCGGCTTGTGGAGGCGACGCCGCAGGAAGCGCTGAGCTGCACAATGTGCCAGGAGCACCGGCCTCCAAGTATTGCCGGAAAAAGCTTCACGTCAGGAATTTCCTGCCTCGGAGAGGAATCTGAGGCATGAGCCCCACACGCCAACAGCGGGCTCTGCTTTGGGCTCTCAGTCCCCGCGCTGCTGCGGGGCGCAGGGGGCAGCGGCTGTGGCCGCGTTCCGACACTGGCCCCGCTCTCACGCCCGGGATACCGAAGGGTGTCGGAGGCTGTCAGGAGCGTGGCAGGAGCTGGCTGGATTTGCAAGGGGGATGAGGGTCTCGCTGCCTCCCCGCTGCTCCCAGCAGTGCCGAGGCCTCTGARAGGTGCCGCGGAGGCTGCTCCTGTGACGGAGCAGGGGGGCAGACGGGCAGGGAGGCGAGTGCTGGGGGCGGGACCCGCCTCACCRGCACCGAGCTCTTGGGTATCGCCAAGTGAGGACCCCCCCATGACACTGGGACATGTCATGGGGGGGTCCCTGCTAAGCCCTCAACCTTTCTGGGGAGCCTTTCCACCTCTTCCATGCTCTTGCCCCCCAAACCACTGRATACCCGGAATGGGGAATGTCGGGAGCTCCCTCGTAGAGAAGCATCAGGCCCCATGAGCTGCTCTCGCTGCGTTGATGCAATGGGAGCTGCAAGTGTCCCTGCACTGCGGAGAGCAGCCCGGTGCGTGGCGCCAGGCTGGCTGCAGAGCCCACRCCGGTGCCAGTGCTGCCCTGATGCTACTCTGCTCTCCTCTTGCAGAGCGGACGGGGAAGGTGCTGGAGGAGTTCTGCCGGTGCTACAGGGAGCAGTACGGAGTAGCGCTCTTCAACAGCGTCCGCTATGAAATCGAGGGCGGCGGCGGGCCGCAGGCGCAGCTGCTGCACCGCAAGGTAAGGTGCGCGGGGATGAAGGCTCGGCCCCATCCTGCTCCTGCTGCAGCGCGGGCAGGTGAAACCCAGGGCCGCGGCCACGCTGGCCTCCTCTCCTGGGAGCAGAAAGGAGCGCGAGCCTCGGCCCAGCCACAGGATCTGGGGCCGTGTGTGATGGGAAGCCGATGGTTAGAGGAGGAAGGGGACCCGGGACCGCTTGTCCTGGGCCTATAATTAGAAACAGTAGGATTTTCTCACAAGTGGCTGGAAAACAGCATGCACAATACCCCTGTGTTGCCTGCCTGGCTCTTTACCAGCAGGAAATAAAACACACCCTGGAGTTAAAGGCGAGCTCCCCGTGCGTGCCTGGTGCGCGCGGCCGGGTTCTCGTGCGCCGCTCCTCCCGGGTGGGCGCCTCCCCACTTGCTCGGTTTGCTGTTGCTCCCTTGGAAGCATTGCAGCCACGTGAGGGCTGGGAAGGGATTGCACAGAAGCGAGGGAGGACGTGAGGGAGGGCGCGAACGGAGGCCGTGCCCAGGCACACGGGAGCAGCAGCAGGGGGAAGAGCAAGAGCCCAAACTCGCAACGGGGACCTGTGGGGAAACGAGGAGCTCATAACCGCTCTGAAGGAGCCGGCACGTCAGGTGCGTTTCCAGTGCAAAGGAGCACAGACGGAAGCTGCAGGATGCTGATGCTCTCAGGGCCTGCAAACCTGCCGTGCTGTGTCCCCGGGCACTGAGCCCTCCTGCCCCCCTGCACCGCATGCAGGGGTTGAGTCCGTCTTCCCAGCCATTCTGGGCCGCACTGCAGCAGCCTCCACGGGTTTGCTGTTTTTCCTTTCCTTTTTTTTTTTTTTTTTTTAAGTCTCTGAGGATAATTTCTGATCTCAGCTGGAAACTTTTTGCCTCTTCCCTCTGTCTTTAGGACTTTGCTCTGGAATGAGGCTGGCTGGAGTGTTTTGCAGTTGTGTTAGGAGGGTCAGGGTGAGCCCCGAGGCTTCTGTGGAGGCACGTGAGCTGCCTTCTCAGGCAGCAAAGTGCAGGAGGAGAAGGGATGGGGCTGCGGTGCGTGTCCCAGTGCCCCTGGGGAAGCTTCCCATGCCCCTGCTGCTGCCTCTTCCCTTCGCTCCGGCTGCAGCTGAGGACACCAGCGGTGCCCAGGGCCTTTTGCCGAGACCGTTGTGTGTCTGCGTGTCCTGGAGCCCAGTCTCTGATGTGGAGAACCCAGTGCACCCATCCTGCTGGGAAAGGAGGATCCCAAGCTCTCAGATTCACCTTAGAGGAGGGCCTGTGAGCCCTGGAAGGGGCCACGAGCCACCAGCAGCGCTCGGGAGGCCTCTCCTTAGCCTCTGGAAAGCGCTTGCGGATGGGTGGCACTATGGGGACGTGGCTGGCACCTCGCCGAGCCTTGCCAATGAGTCACCGTGCTCACCGGCTTCCCCTGCCTCCTGCATGCYGAGGGAAAAGGGGGTGGCAGCCGAATCCCCTGGAGCCCCATCCTGGGCACAGAGYCCACCCGGGCTGTGAGCACAACGGTGCCCAGCCGGGGGCTCGTCGAGGAGCCCAGGATTTGTTATGGCCGGTGCTCTCTCTGCCCCCTTTCACAGCATGTGTGGCCCATCTCCAGGCCAAGATGAGCTGGATGACCCGCGTGTATTCGGCAGCCTTGCACCTCTGGGCAGAGCAGAGCTGGTTTGTAGGTGCCCTTGRGACGAGGCCTGCAGGAGATGTGCTTGCCACCTTGGGGAGGTTCCTGCTTTTCTTTGGGGGACACAGCATTTTTGAGAAAACTAGAGATTGAGTTGGTGGCGTGAGACTCGTGCCCTTGCCAACCCGTGCGAATGCCCCTGTATCCCGTGGGGGACGAGCACGTGGCCCTGTGTGCTGAGAGGAGTCCCCGGAGCCCCGGCCGCGGCAGCGCAACCAGCTGGAGCGGTGCGGCCGGCGGCGCCCGGCCCGGCGAGGGTGTCGCAAGAGCAGACAGGGTGTCTGCGCCTGCCCGGGCCCCGGGCGTGCCAAGCAAAACAAAGGTGTGCAGGGAAAGGTGCCCCAGGAGGAACAGGGGGCCCCGTGTCCACAGCAAGACGTTTATTGGGTTCATCACCATTTGGCAGATCAATTTAACCTTCTCTGTGGAGATGCCTCCTTTTAAAGGTTTTGTGGAAAAAAACCCTCCTTCCAGCAGTTCAGGAATGTATGAGAAATGGGGGCAAGTCAGCAAGGTCAGGGACACGGTGCAACTCTTTAAAACAAGAATATATAAATAGGACATTCCACGGCCGAGCTGTCACCAGGAGTCTCGTCTGCTTCCCCCTCCTCTSCTGCGGAGCCTTGGCAGGGCCTGGCACTGGCGGGAGGGATTCGCCAGGTGGGGATGGCAAAGTTGGAGCCCTGTTCTTAGGAGTGCAGCTAATGGCAGGGCCCTGGTGTGGGGCAACTGAGCATCATCCCTCCTGCACCCAAAGGAGCCATGTGAGCCCATGCAGCTCGGAGCTGGGACGGCTGGGAGTTTCATGGTGTCCCTGGGGAATAGGGTATGGGAAGCTAGTRGGATGAGCCTACACCAGTGCTGGAGGTGAACGCTGGGAGAAGGGATGGGTGGAGGAGAGGGAACGAGCCTTTAAGTTCATAGGACGGGTGAAGGCATCCCTGGCAGGTCCTGGGATGGAGAGGACTTATTTTGTGTAGTGTYACAACCATGGATTCTAAGGAACCGGAGCCATTTGGGTGCAAAGCTGGGAGCTGGCAAATGCCTTGGTTGCAGGGATTTTGGGCAAGCTGGTGAGCCAGCCTCTTGCCTCTGTAAGCTGGTGCAAAGCAGGGACAGCTCTCAGAGCAGAGCAGGACGTCATACTTCAAAGTGCCCTGAGATCCTCATGAGTTTCCAAAAAATAATCACAGAGCATCCTCTTTTTTTTTTTTTTTTTTTTTTTTTTTCATAACAAACTCCTCTGCTTCTCCTGGCTACCTACCAGAACAAATATATCTAGACCCAGATCTTGCTGCTGCCTTAGTGATATCAAACAGGATGCGGAGGCGCTGGCTCTTCCCCATACCAGGCCCTCAGATATGGAGCGGTTGATCAAGGCATCCCAGGCCCTCCATCAGCACGCTCACCTGGTTGCCTCCCTTCCCTTCCCAGCAATTTGGTGTGTACCTTCATGCCCTAAATATTTTCTCAGAGTGGGTGATTGCACCTATCTGCCCCCTCCTTGCAAACAGGCTGTGCGAGAGAGGGGTGCGTGGAGGGCGTTGGTGCACGGCCACCTCCATGCACCCTGGGCGC